CCTCCTTTATAGTAACACCCAGAAACTTAAAACTGGCCACCCGCTCCACTCGGTCTCCATTGATAACCAGAAAGAAGTTTGGTTGTTGTGCAGTTCTGTGAGCTTTTGTTCATGAGCTAGTGGAAGTCACTGTATGATACTGTACAAGGCAGTGGTGGACTAATTAGGATAAAACAAACATTCTGGGGTGAGTTCTTGGCCCAGCCTAGACTCATGGGCAGTTACGCCTCATCCATGTAAAAGAAATAGACTTGGATTTGTCTTATTGTGGGCTATCCTCCCCTAGTCATATGCTCTATGGGTCCAGATAAAGCTCTAGTAGAGCTTAAGTGGAGAGTTTTGGGCCTTGATGTTCAACCAGATAGATAGTCCCACATAGAATGGCACATTGGTGTGATTTCATCCCTTGCAGTTACTATAAGAACATACAGTATTGCAATATTCCTTTTACAGGATCTTCTTTATGTATGTTCAGATATCAAGGTCAAGTCTGTGGCAAGTGTTGTTAGACTGCTCCTTATATAACAACTGGTGTGGTGATCTCATTGAGCAAGTTTTCTCACCAATCACAATCAGCAATTATAATCAGCTGTTGCAAGATCACTGCACTGAAATATCTAAAAGGTCACAAAATTCCTAGTTGTAGCTATGGTCATAGAAACTGGTGGGTTCATTCTATAACCAGCTAAGTGGGTGTGGATAAAAGGATCTCAGCTGCTGCAGTTACAGCTGAATTGGGAAATTATACAATTTGTTCTTTGTCTAAAATCAGGGCACACAATTAAGGTGCAAAATCAATGCTATGGAAACTAACAGTCTCCCAAAACTGTGTCTGTTAGAACAGACAAAATCTCAATTACTGACCTCTTGGATTGTACAACTGACAAATTATATCAGGAACTGTGGTCTCCCTGTTTCTTGTCCAGCTGTCTCTGGAAAACAAATTTAAAAGATTGCTGCACAAAGAATTATGGATCGTAAGGCTGGCACGTTGAAATGGATGAGCTGCTATAAATGTACCTTCCAAATTGCCAAGTACAGTATTTAAACACAGAAATGTCTCAACACCTTAGTGGGGGTATTTACTCGAGCAAGATTTGAGCAGCTGGACACAATGCTTAACTATGGAAGGTTTAACCAAGTCCCTTATAATGAACATATTTGCGGAGCCCCAGAGATAGAAAACACATATATTACTTGAATGTCAATTGTTTAAGAAAGAGAGAGATCAGTATCTTGGATCGCACATTAGATGAACAGCCTATTGAAATCCTTAGATCAAAACAGCATATTTCATGTGTGGTCAGAATCCAAAAATTACATATCACATGGCTCTTTATTTGAACAAAACAGTACAGTGGAGAACTGCATATGTGGATCCGATTGAGCTAAATTGTAGGGATGACATGGAAATACAGTTTGCATTTTCTTTTACTTATTTCTTTTATTCTATTTTTAACATATGGTCTTATTACTGTTCTGTGTTTTATATTTTGTATTCTGATATGGCCTAATGGCTAATCAATAAAGTATTACTGATACAACCAGCTACACCCAGGTTCTCCCTTTTCCACTACTATTGACTGCCTTGTTCCATGTCATCCCACCAATCTGCATACAGTATAGAATTCTAATACCTTTCATAATACTTTGCTCCTGTCCAAGTTTGACTTACTTATTATGTTGACTTTTGTCGTGGTCTATATGCTGCTGCTTGTATGTTTTCATTTCTTTTAAATATTGTGAATCTTACTGCTTGACCCTCCCCCTCTCCTATGGTCCATGGCTATTTACGAAATAAATAAATAGAATAGTTTTCTAAGAATGCCCCTAGGCCCCATTGGGATTAAGAGACTGTATGGCTCATAACAACAGTACCCCAAATTTGCACCTTGCTTTGTAGCATGCCACTTTCTCCTTTTTTCTAAACTAAAAAAAGGATTTACAAAATTTCAAGTCAGTTGTAACAGCACTCCTATAAGCACCAAAAAAGTTTTTTTTTTTTTTTGTCTGCGCTCAGTCATTGCTGACCCTGCAGTGACTGCTTGGAC